AAATACATAACCCCTCCCCCCCCTCCCTCAGACTGAGATGTAATGCACCCCCCTGGAAGTTCATTACTCCCTGTCACTCGTATTTTTCACTTGCACTTTATGTTGATATCATTTTACACCGTGAAAGTTCCTGGTTCAATCCCCATAGCCATGGAGAACCTTCTGGGTTGAGTTCACGTGTCATTCTTACTGTCTAATGATATTCCATATTATTTGATCTCCATTAAATACTTTCAATCACATCCGTATGAAATGCACGGATAACCATATATTGTCTTTGCTTTTTACTAATAAACTTTTAAACTGTGACTAAACAACATATAAAAATATCTTCCTGTCAATATTATTCTAATGGATTTTCCATTTCAGTCCTTGCATTCCATGTTTAACCTTTGTAATATGGGTACACTTATTTTAATTATTTTGGAATTAATTGGAATGCTGAGACGTGATTTTTATAGGCTTTAGTACATTTTATTACAAGACATGAGGAGTGAGAGCACGGAATTTCGTCCGATGGAACGATCTTTTAGGAACCTGCTCCCACACGTCGGACGTTCTTTGAGACAACGCGTAACTAAGCGAGACAGTTAACCTGTTGACTTGCATAAGTTACCATGGCAACTCAGCGGGGATTCATCGTGCATTCCATTTGCCCTCGGAACTCGGATTCTGAGTTTTGAAGCCGGAAGTGACTACATGCGCGTTCCCGTTTCTTGGCGATCCGAGAAATATCTCGGACAGCACAGAGGATCCCGAGTTCAGAATCCAAGATGGCTGCGCCCTTTATCAACAGAAGGGAAAGTTGTAGTTTTATCCTGTTTAAGCACTACTTCTCATTTGTGGCTCATTAAATCGGTCGCACACACTATACCGTCCAACTTATCTGTGCACGTGTTGCTACGGAGTTTTATACGTGAAGCACCGCGCATAATGTGCTATCAAGTGATATTGGCTACCAATTAACAGGGCTGGAATTGGATTTCATGATTAGTCGGATTATTTGTCGGATTTAAGGTAGTTCGGGCTAATTGTAAGTGAACGAAGTTAAAGGCCATTTAAACTGAGGTAAATCCAACAAGTTGTCCAGCTAAGCAAAAAAATCTTGCTTTTTCATATGGTAGGTATGTCACAAAAAATTTCAAAGTTGTTGGATTTTTACACTGCGTCATCCACAGGGAACAACTCATGTCTAAATCATTGAATTTAGACAACATCATGAAGCCTGTGATGGAAGGGCTTGATAAGACCTTTCCAATGATACCAAAAACTTCTTTCTGTGATGAATGGCAAGAAAGTTATAGGATATTTTGTAACGCCAATTAAGGCTTATTAACGTCCACTTATTAACAGATAAAATAATAGAGAACCATACTTGATTTTGTGACCTGTTTATGTTGTTCAGAAAAATGAGCATAACTCTGCGATGGGTATCTACTCCATTTTATTACAAGAATATATATTCATAAACACATATAACCTCATTTAAAAGCCTTCACATCATTTTAAAGCTGTAAATTCCATGCTGAAAATCATGCTATTTTCGGCTCTTGCTGCACTGTTCACCACAAAACATGGCTGGCTCTCACAGCAGATCCAAAAAAGTGAACTGCTTTTCGATAAATTTAGCTCAAAATACGCCTAAATACAATAAACTAACTAAGAAATATAATTATCATAGTTTGAAGAATAATTCTGCTTACCTTTATTGTCCCAACGAAGGTTTTAATGAGTGAAATTTTCGGTAAGATCGGGAGGAAATTTCGAAGTTATCAGAAAGTCAGATGACCGTGTTTTGAATGGAAATCCCCAGATGAAGGTGTGTTTTACGTTATCAGAATGGGTTACCCTAATAGACACAAAAATAACACCACAAAAAGGCAAAAACTATTGGGATACCCTGGTGCTCTGGGGAATGGCGACCAAATTGAAAACGAGGCTGCCTGCCAAAGCCCCTATGGCGCAGAACTGGTGATAGTGACATACCTACATATGGGTCCATGGTAATATGGTATTGCTACTTCTGTGGCAAATGGAACGCATCCGACTCGGTTTTCCCGAGTTCTTAGCGGATGTGACGTATGGAATGGAACTCCCACTTAAATGAGCCCGACTTCTCGAACTAAGTCAGACTTTCCCTTAATCCTGCTTCATGGAATACCCCCCAGCAGTATGAACGGGGAGGCCAGTTTTGTTTGCCAATAAATATATTGCTTCTGGAAACAAAGAAACACAGACTGTGTTTTTCTCAAGTATATCTGTGTATGTTTTACTGTTGTTGCTACCCTGTGTTTTTTGTAAATCGCTGAATTAGGAAATTAAGTCTCACTGCATTCATATGGGTGAGGCGTTTGAGGTGGCAGAGTGTAGACTGCAGTGTAGACTGCTCTGAGGGACCTTATTTGGGAACAGAAGCTTCCATTCCATCACCAGGCTGAGAATTACTGAATACTGTCTGGGACAGACTGAGTGGATATGAGAACCGGAAAATGAGTTTGCATTAGGGGGCAAATGGAGAGGAGATTATTTACAGTAAGTTGTGCAGTTATGAATGATGGACAGGCTAATAAAAACAGTGTCTAGTACCAGCATATACTAACAGACAGCTGGGAGTTCAGGAGCTGGAACTGCGGAAACACGTATGCATAACATGTATGACAGCTTTGGAGGAAACTCATGTCAAGCCACAGACAGTAACTGTCATGAATAACGACAGTGGGTGCTGCCCGTAGGGGAGAAAGTGGGAAGAACAGCCAAAGACAGCGTTCAGAGGCAGTGTAGGTGGCACATAGTGAATTGTGACATCACAAATGGGGCGGGGCTTACGTGGTATTCATTCAAGAGCACAATAAGTGGGTGTGTCCTTCCCATATGTAGCCCTCTTACACAATCCCAGGAAGCGCACACCAGGTGGAAATAGGCACAGGTTTTAAAGAAGGAATGAAACACTTTAACTTCAATGTGTTGTTTCAAATTGGTATAAAATGCGCTATTTTAAAATAGAATAAAACATTAAGCCAACAAACTTTAAGGAAGAATTTAGACACTTTAACTCAAATGTGTTCCAGCCTCCTATAATGTCTGTTAGAATTAACCAGTAAAGATAGAAGTGGACCCTTATCACAAACACCATGGGGGTGGGACTAAAGCTGCTATATAACGATACACCTGTCAATCAGCAGAGCCCATCATGGTGCCTACACAGGCGGGCGTGGCCACCACAGACCCCCATGTGGGATTGACAGAGCCCGTCATGGTGCCTACACAGGCGGGCGTGGCCACCACAGACCTCCATAAGGACTCACTGTGGATGGCTGCCTGTCATCAGAAGGTTGTTGGTCTGAGTCTGGCCTCGGCACGTCTGAGGCTCACAGAGCCTGGCTCGTATCCCCCAGCTGCCTGGGTGCTGCTGTGGATGGCTGCCTGTCATCAGAAGGTTGTTGGTTTGAGTCTGGCCTCGGCACGTCTGAGGCTCACAGAGCCTGGCTCTTTACCCCCAGCTGCCTGGGTGCTGCTGTTTATGGCTGCCTGTCATGGGCAGCTTGTTCTTACTTACAGAGAACAAACTGGAGGACAAAAAAACTCTTCATGTATTTGGAATTTATACGTATGCATAACATGAGAATGTGCGTGCTGTGTCAGTAACTTTGTTCAAACCATGTGTACACACATTTTTTGCCTTTGTTTAATTGGCAACACCATGCGACAAATGAAACTAACAAAATACCTGAATTTATTTACGCACTCAATGCAATTTGGGGCAATTGATCAAGCAGTTCATGAATAAAATTGGAAATATTTCCTCCTCTTGCTATTTGAAATACCTTATAATAATGTTTTTACTTGCATTACATTCTGGTTCATTTAATCAAAGGGAGGAGTATGGAGTCAGAATAGTGCCATATGTACTTGTATGTGTACTTTCCAATTTGCACCCGTAAAAAGAAATTTGCTCGCACTGAACACAATTTTCATTCGCAAAAAAAAATATTTTGCAAATACAAGTCAATATTTTTTGTAAATGCGAAACCAAACATCTTCATAAAAATATTTTTTACAAAGATAGAATGATTTTCAAGTACAAAACCTGTATTGCAAATCCAAGTCCTCTTGCAAATACCAACCTGCGAGTGCAAACTCACACTTGCGCATATAAATAATTTTGGCACTAATTTATACACATACAAGTACATATGGCACTATTCTGACTCCATAGAGGCGGGATTAAGATAATTACTTTCACTTTGATAAAACCACGGATTATACTAACGTCAATAAAAAAAAAAGTCAATATTTTGTTAAAAAGTGAATACTATAAAAAATCTTAGTAAAACAACTGTAGAAAAAAATACCGCCAATTAATTTATGAAACAATGTTTTTGCGGAAGCTACATGTTATAAAAGAGCGCAGAGGCAGATGCGCTGCAGAGGCGGCCTTTCCTCTAAGATGGAAGGCGCGGGATTTGAAAATGCGTAGTTTCGTTTTTCAATGTTAGGAAAAAACTTTGTAATTTACTACTGATATATCTATATCTCCTTCTCAGGATACATAATACTCATTGTTATTCATATAGGCTAATAATTGCATGCACAGTTTAATGTGATTAAAGTGTCCTACAGTACATAATTTTTCCCAAAAGAAATCACTGTATTTATCGGCACTGCAAAACTATCCGAGACCAGGTAAGCGAAACGGATCACAAGATCTTAACATGTAAAATATTACATTAATATGTGGTAATAATAACACAACAGGTGTGTCAATTTTGATCGCTTTATCAGTTTTTTACGGAATTATTCCGTATTTTGGCCCGGAATGGAAGGTCGAATCGATGTGGTCGTTTAAAAACAAATTTCGACTCCCGATTTTCAATTCGAATCGTTTTGTCATTATACCACTTGTATTTATTGCTTCGGGCTGTGTAAGCTATGACCATCTGCATATCGGACTGACTGAAACTACTGTTGATTTTTTTATGTGTACAGTTAGTCCTCCTGCTTTCGCGCTTCGTGATTCGCGAATTCACAGATCCGCGAAAATACTGTTTTTTGTTAAATATTTTTTCATTGTGTGTATGTATTTTTCGGGGTGGCAGGACGATGCAGTGGTTAGCACTGTTGCCTCACACCTCTGGGACCAGGGCCGGTTCAAGTCTCCGCCTGGGTTCCATGTGTGTGGAGTTTGCATGTTCTCTCCATGTCGTCGTGGGTTTTCATCGGGGTACTCCGGTTCCCCCCCACAGTCCAAAGACATGCTGAGGCTGATTGGGGTTACTGAAATTGCCCATAGGTGTGTATGTGTGAGTGAATGGTGTGTGAGTGTGCCCTGCAGTGGGCTGGCCCCCCATCCTGGGTTGTTCCAGGATACTCTCCAGACTCCCCGCGACCCAGTAGGATAAGCAGTTTGGTGGATGGATGGATGGATGGAATAATAATGGAATACCAACGCTTTTTCGTGGTTAGCGCAGACATGGTACTTTTACAATTTATTATTTCTGTACGTCTTTACGTAATTTTTTATTGATTTAATACATGTACTCTGTACGTACAGTACATGTTTCCTTTACGTATTTTATTGAATTGTACCTCGGTTATGTATATGACTTCTGTCAATGAGTTTACAGTCCCGTTCGTTTACTCATTTACCTTAGTGTGAATGCAAAAGAAAACTGCAGCCAATGCCGTGTTCTATGAATTATTAGGGCTAACATTAGTATACTGTACTGTAAATGTACTAGTGTGACAAATATCCGTTAGGCGATACTGTACTCTATTTTTACATCAAACATTTGTTTTTTTAAAGGTAATGTATTAAGCTAACATTTGTAGCAGAAGGACTCAGCAAGAAAGAAGCATGAAAGAAAACATCTGGAATACCAACGCTAAAAAAGGTTAGTAGCTAGTTAACATAGATCAGGGGTAGACAGTCTAATCCTCAGTGATACAGTGTATATGCAGGTTTTTGAGAAGACCTTTAGGTCAGCTCTTCAAACCCAGGTGTGACACCACTTCAGCCAATCAGTCCTCTAAGTAATGATCAAATTAAGCAGTCGTAGCAAGAAACATCACACAATGGCCCTTTCTACATCAGCAACATTCTTGATGCTGATGGTGGCAAATTAATTTTCAAATATTCATATTGTTTTAAATTATTCTACTTTTGTTATAGTAAGTAGGCAATTATACAGTGCATAATAATAATTGCAAGTGCTGAGTGTAGAAGATATTTGCTTCTGCAGTGACTGGTAATTCACGCAGGAATTCAGGTGTGAGTACAAGGGGTTTAATACACAAAGCAGTACACAGATACAAGGGGTAAAGGCAAACAACCCCCACCAGCTATAGCAACACCTACAATGACAAATGCTCAACTGACGAGCCAGGGCCTAACCCTAACATATAAAGGGAAAAATGCAGCAGGGCCTAACCCTAACATATAAAGGGAAAAAGACAGGTACCACACAAGAGGGCAATCAGGGCAGGATAATTGGTTATTCAAATCACGGTCCTCGAGGTCTGAGCCCTGCTGGTTTTCCAGCCTTCCTTTACCTGTCAGTCAGGTGTGAAGCATCTGACCAATCAGAATCAGTAATTATTAAACTAACTACTGTACCTGGGAGAACTGAAAACAAGGCCTGGATTTGGAATCGAGGTCCAGATTTGAAGAACCCTGCACTAGGGTAACACACTGGGCAAACACAATAGGTAGGAGGCACAGTGGATGGGCCTTGTATTGGTACCGAGACTGGACCTGACTGGAAATGGTCTGGACTGGCAATGAGCTGATGGACTGGATCAGAGACAGTACTGGCAACTTGGACTGGGAACAGAGCTGGACTGGGGACCAGCCTGTGGAAACCTTGAGACTCGGAAAACGGAACTCGGGAGTAACAGGACAGGAACAGGATTCACTGCATGCTTTGGTTAGAGTCAAACATTCTGTCACAAACTACTGGGCCCGGGTGAAGGGAGACAGAGCTGCAGGTGCCAGTACAAGAGGCATAATGAACAAAACATGACACAGGTAAAGAGAGAACATCAAAGACACCAGCAAAGACAACAGCAACAACAACAGGGCTGATAAGATGGATGGATGGATGGGTGGGTTTGGGGGTATGTGATCTGTGCCTTACTAATTAGACATTTGGCAGCATGTTTATGTGAATATAACTAGGTGAGAGGGCTGCTCCTGAATTCTGTAACGGAGATTAGCTCCATCGCTGTCAAAGTATGTCTATCTCTCCAGCTGGACAACATCACGTTAATAACCCTGCTGAAGAAAATGGAAGAACTTCTCTGCCTGGGACCAGCACAACCCCGATTCCTGGTATCCAGACTGCCATCACGGCTCATACTGGAAGCAACGCTGCTGCCCCCCAAATCTGTCAGTCCCATATTACTGGTGATGTAAATTTCAACATCCATCTCCAAGGTAAAGAATGTCTAATGTACCTTGTGTCTCAGTGGGTGTAGCCTTGATTAAGTCTGATTATTCCAGAATGACTACGTGAATGATGACTCATTAAGCAGGATAGCTATGCACTGTATGTAATTCCACTGGTGCTATCTGGTCCTTTTATGTGGGTGTAGCACTGATTGGAATGATAACGCTGATGTGTCTTAATTACTGATTATGTTGTGTGAAGATGTTACTGTTTGCATCACCATCAAGGAGGTATAGAGTAGTACCTCACTTTGTCCTTCAGCTTACTGGGAATTCAGCATTCTATGTTTGTTACAACAGTTACATAAGGGTGAATAACTTTACATCTGTATTTTTGTGTTTTGCTTTTTTTTAATCCTTTAATAAATACATAGCATGCCAATCATTACTGTATGAAACCTCTTTAATGCAAATATTTTTTCGATACATTTAAATAATATGCAGTTTTTTGGTTTATTTTATGTCCTGCAATGGGTTGGCGTCCCATCCTGGATGGAGTGCAGTGCAGAGGGTTGGCTAGAGTTAGGGCTTATGGGTAGTGATTGGGGTGCAGTGCAGGGGATGGGTTAGGGTTATGCTTAGTGTTTGGGGTGCAGTGCAGAGAATGGGTTAGGGTTATACTTAGTGTCTGGGGTGCAGTGCAGAAGGTGGGTTATGGGTAGTGTTTGGGGTGCAGTACAGAAGGTGGGTTATGGGTAGTGTTTGGGGTGCAGTGCAGATAATGGGTTAGTGTTATGCTTAGTGTTCGGGGTGCAGTGCAGAAGGTGGGTTATGGTTAGTGTTTTGGGTGCAGTGCAGAGGGTGGGTTAGGGTTGTGGTTAGTGTTCGGGGTGCAGTGCAGAAGGTGGGTTATGGTTAGTGTTTGGGGTGCAGTGCAGAGGGTGGGTTATGGTTAGTGTTTGGGGTGCAGTGCAGAGGGTGGGTTAGGGTTGTGGTTAGTGTTTGGGGTGCAGTGCAGAAGGTGGGTTATGGTTAGTGTTCGGGGTGCAGTGCAGAGGGTGAGTTAGGGTTGTGGTTAGTGTTTGGGGTGCAGTGCAGAAGGTGGGTTATGGTTAGTGTTCGGGGTGCAGTGCAGAAGGTGGGTTTTGGTTAGTGTTTGGGGTGCAGTGCAGAGAATGGGTTAGGGTTATGCTTAGTGTCTGGGGTGCAGTGCAGAAGGTGGGTTATGGTTAGTGTTTTGGGTGCAGTGCAGAGGGTGGGTTATGGTTAGTGTTTGGGGTGCAGTGCAGAGGGTGGGTTATGGTTGTGGTTAGTGTTTTGGGTGCAGTGCAGAGGGTGGGTTATGGTTAGTGTTTTGGGTGCAGTGCAGAGGGTGGGTTATGGTTAGTGTTTTGGGTGCAGTGCAGAGGGTGGGTTATGGTTAGTGTTTTGGGTGCAGTGCAGAGGGTGGGAGGCCTTGTCCAGATGCCAGCAAGTTTGCACAGCATCCCCTCCTTGGCCACAGTAACCAGGGACCATTTGTCCGCAAATGTACATTACATTACACAAAGATCACAGTAAAGGCGGTACAACCAGGAAAGGGAGGTTCCATTTATATGTTATTTAAAAAAACAGTCAACTGGATGTTACATGGTAAAGAAGACCTGAAGTGATCTTCATGGTACAGTGACATAGATAGATCTTACCCAAATACTGACAAAAATGACAATTTTCAGCACATGAAGAATGTTTTCACATCAAAGGCAAGGATGGAGGTGAAGGCAGGCATGGGGAAAACCAAAAGGGACTTTATTATATGAAACTACAAGCAAGGAAATGGACCACGAGGGGTCAACATGGGGTAGGGAGGATCAGGGCATGCTGAGGAGCACAGGCAGGCAGCAACATCAATGACTGGACTGGGGAGCTCAAGACAGGGGGGCAGTAAATACATCACTGATGAGGGAGCAGATGAGAGGCACCTGAGGTGATCCACACGAGGGCTGTAATGAGAGGAAACAACGGAGAGAACGAGGGGGAAGGGATGCAGGGTGTGAGACGTCTTTATTTGTTATTAATATTGTATAAACTTGATGTCAAGGACAAAAGTTTGTACAGGTGTCCAAGCAGATGTCAGTTTTATTTAAATTGAGCTTGAAAAGGCAGGTGGCACATCGGTAATTAATATTAGTACTAATCATAAATGCAAAAAAGCAAATAGGAATTTACAATGAAAAGTATAGAAAATACATTTTTTGGTTTTATTACCTGACTGTTATCACCCATTATCCGCATCTTTATTGCTCTCCAAGCTTGTCTAATAAAATCTGATTTAAGGCATAATGCTGAGAGAAGTTAATTCTCTGTTTAACCTTGTGTCATGCCACCCCAGTTAGACTCATTTGAGTCATTGACACAGTGTTGCACACTACACTGTATGTACACTGTGACCATCCACTGTAGGTGTGGCATGAGAAATGGAGGGAATGAAAAGCCTGTGTGATGGATTAATGACAATTTCACGTATCAATAGTGTGGTCTTTGTCGTCTTTTTGTTGTAGGTGATGTGAATGGAGTGGGGCGTAGCCAGAAGCGGCAAAGGTAGGGGTCTCATGCTTAGTCCTGTTATTTATGGGGATGGAGGGGGGCGTGGCCAGAAGCGGCAAAGGTAGGGGTCTCATGCTTAGTGCT